TCGTAAGAGGCCACTGAGAGAACTTAATGGACGAGAGATGGGCAGCAGCGTCCCTATTAAAACACCACCAAAAGCCTAACTGCGGTTGCTAACCAGCCTGTCAAGGGGTGGCCGATGTTCAGGAGTGGTCAGATTTTGATTGATATGATGATTGCTGGGATATATTCACACTACACTACAATATAAATTTATTTATATTACTTCTCCATTTAATATAGTTACGCACCCTAACTCTATCCAAAGCTTAATCGTTTCCCTTCCATGACTATCTCAAAAATAACTCAAATGTGATCTTTTCAAACAGGAATGCACCACGCCCGGAACATATCTACATATTTCGGCGTGTACAGACGTCATCTGTTTATTATTATTTTTTTATTCTACTACCAGTAAAAGGTTTCATGTAAGCAATCTGTAAATTTTTGTTTATACAGTCATATGCGTAAAATATAAACATTTTCCATCCGATTTCAATAAGGATCGCAATTCAACTGTATTTTTTTATTTACATCTTAGTGGTATACACACCTTTTTTCAAGACTATTTTATCAATCTATACTCCCATATTGATCTCAAACTAATTTTGTCACGATAAAAGTATAAGTAAATCACTGTGATTTTATGTTACTGAAACACGTAAGTCATATAAGTACATTTAATTATACACACTTTTTTGTTAAAAACATGACATGATACCAATATTATTTACATAAGTATTGTCTATTAATAGTAAACTTCAATAACATCACGAGATACTGTTAGTTGATACTTTGAACTTCGTGTAATTTTTTTTTGCTAACCCTAAGGCAAAGGATAAAAGCAATAACAAATGGATAATAGCAAAAGGATATTGTTTGTTCTATGTTCTCACGCCATGTTCCTTACAAGATAAGCAATAACATATCTACGTCTTTATCTTAAGCATTTTTTTAAACTAAAAATATGTATCTACCCTGTGTAAATAATGTTATAATTTTTTTATTATTTACTTTTTTCTTGTTATTGAAAATCCTTATCCGAAAAAATAAAAACGGACGTCTTATTTTTTTTTCTTTTTTTCGAAATTGTTACTTTTATATACACGAAATTAATTAGTAAATAAAAAGCATTTCTGCACCATTCATATCTATTTTAAAGACTCCTTAGATAATGTGAAATCAAAAGTACAAAGGCCACTTACAAGTATATTTCTGGTATTTGGGTTAATCAAAGTCAATTACGAGACCATCTATTAGCGAGACACAAGAATAAATTTGTCTATTACTGTCTTTTATCCATATGAAATTCGTTTTCTACGTGTATTTTAAAAAAGTTGTCTGATTTTGTCGACAATTTAAAAAGCATAATTTGAATTTTTTAGTCGCAATAAAATACTTTAAGCTGCTTCAAAAGGTTCGATATCTTAGTAATTCTGAGCCTTTGATAATTATTTATGCAGTCAATATACTGTCATATTTGTCCCTTATTAATTTTAACACAACTGTTATAGGCGTTCTTTTCGTAGGACATAATCTTAAATGACTTTAACGACCGCTACTTCTAAATATTTAAAAAAATATGTATTCTTTGTAGAATTTTTAAAATTTACTTAAATCTCTGTTGCATTTCATCACGATATTATAAATTTCACATTTATATAATAAACATTTACAAAACTAGAGTGTCTGATCTTCAGTATTAACATTCTAAAGCTATTTGAAAACATTAGTTCAAATCAAAGATCCTTTATCACGTTGTCATTACATTTATTAAACTATTTGCTGCAGAATTTTACGCAACTACTAATTCTTTTACAAAATCAGATATCTTTATGGTTTCACATATATACAACAACAATAGATATGTTTTCTTCTAGAAATAGGTGCACTCATTGTTAATTTAAATTATTCTGGTATAATCATTCAAGGTAGCAGTGTAAGACATATAAGATACATCTGTCGTTAATAACTCCGGTTTTGCCCTTGGGACAGTGTTATGATGATTATTTGCCAGCAGGGCTATGGCTACTTTTAGCTTATAGTAGTAAACAATATCGTAGATGCTAATTATAGAAATAGAAACGACTTGTTTTATGGTCGCTATAATTGTTTTAGGCGCGTTTTATAGTGCAACATAATAAAAACGAGGGCCAAGACTGCATTTTGTATTATCTAATACCTACTATTATTTAATAAATGTTAAAATTAACCTTTATTAAACCTCGAAATATTACTTAACACTTTAATACCTTTAGGGATAGCGACATACGAGTGTTATCATTGATATTACGTATGTTCCTTGACGTTGCTGCGGGTACCACTTTCCACGAGGTCGGTCGTCAGCTTGTTTGCGCTTACAATTCATAGTAGTTAAGTTCTGACACACCTAATTGAAAATGGATACCGACTTCTAAAATGTAAATTTACTTAATAAGTGCCACACCTACTCTATCTTATCCTCAAGTTAGGTCACTGTGTTAGAAACTTTACTACTTACAAACTATTAATTTTAGAATTATATTGTGTATATCTTCACTGATAACATCACTAATAAGAAGTAAAATATAGTTCTTTCAGAAATATTAATGTAAGAATATTAATGTTTCAATTCAATTCAATTTATTCGTTAAAGACAGCATGTTGAAAACTGTGATAACTGCGGTGCAAATGCGGCTAAACTATTATATATTCATAAAGACGACGAGATAAATAAAATACATATTATGTTTTCAACATCCATTTTACTAAATTTGAATAGAATCGACAGAATGCATTACATTTTAATAGTAAAAAAGTATAAGTGGCCAGTACGTGCAATAATAAAAAGAGTTCATTCTTACATATTAAATTGAATCTGCAACACAGCACATAATTAGTTCACATATATAACACGTAATATAAGATCAAAGATTCACTAATCACCTTTAAACCAATTTGAAATAAATAAAATTAAAATCATCGTTTTTAATCTTATTGTTACAGCTTATTTACCACTTATATCTGTACCTGCAGCATTGTCTGTGTGAAAAAGGTGCTTTTATAACTCATACAGTTACAGTTACTACAAATATTCAAACATCTGTAAAAAACACTGGATTTACAATATACAATATTATATATGTGAACGTACTATATTTTTGCTTTTATCATCTCTGAATCTTATTTATATAGGTACTTAAAATATGTATACAACAATATTTGAATTCCATAGCATGTACGAAGTACATTACAAAAATTTCATGAATCCGTGCCAATATGCGTCGCCAAAATAGTAAATACTGACTAATGCATACTACATGACTCATAAAAAATTTGCGAACGTGACTTTACTTAGTTATCTGAAGATAAGAATAACAAGAGGGTGAAATATATCCCTCACATCTAATACTTATCCAACTAATCAACTTAATCTAATAGAAAGTTACTCACTAGTGTTCAGAAGAAAAAGTTCATTTACATAATTAATTTTCGCTTGTGTTTTTATTTATACTAGTGATATTTGATTGATTACATTAGTACGGAACTGCTATAAAATCACTCAGAATTTGGTACAAATTGTTATTAAAGATTTTTTAACTTTTTAGCCAGACTTAAAATCTATGTACTACTTAATATCATACAAAAATTTTTAAGCATAGCTATTTAATCACATAATTAACATAATTCTAATTAATTAACTAATAACTAATTTGTCGTGTGGTCTCGACATAGAGTGGACCATTCTTTCCTTTCCTGTAAGTATTATTTATGAAGTAACTAAAAGAATTTAATAGTCAAGGGATAAGAGATAGGCAGCAGCGTCCCTTTTAAAATATCACTAAAGGCTAATTACAGACACCAATCCGCTTGCCAAATATGGCAAATATTATTCCATACAAACTTTCAACCCCCGCTTTACGCCCTTAAAGGTTGAATATTCAAAATTCCTTTCTTATTGTTCACCTATGTTATATACCACTAAAGAACCTATCTGTAAAATTTCATAATTCTGAATTCAGCGGTTTCAGCTGTTCGTTAATATATGGGTCAGTTAGTCACTGAGCATACTTTTTAGATAGAAGATAGATTACCCTTTATATATATTAATTTATTTTCATGCATTAATTAAAAATTTTAAGATAACAATTTGTGGAATAGTACAAGTGTTTTTATATTCAATTGATAGACATCTGTTTTTACTACTTAATACGTTTTTACTTCTTGAACATGAAAATGCTATAAAATAAAATACTAGATGTTTAAATAACATTGCAAGTGTCTGTTACTCGACTCGAAAAATTATTAACTTGGTGTCTGTTATTATGAGTTTTAATTAAAAAAAAAATCTTTTACTAAATTCACAGTAAGTACACGTCTCAACCAACCTACCAAGTAACTCGTGTACTTCATCAAAGCCTTTTGAATAAGGGAAAAGAAATTTAATCTCATTAGAGATAAGAGCTTTTTCGAAGCAAACAACGCTTGCCTTTCTCCGATTGAGATGTTTACTTTTCATCTTTTGTGATATTATGCGCACTTTTATTTTCGAGATGAGTGCCGTTGTTCTCTGAATTAATCTTGGCTAAATAGATGTGACAAGTATTTTGAACGGTAATAGATATCTATCTTAACAGAAACGTAGTAGCAAAAAACAATCCATAAACAATCGTATGGTATTCATTTTCTCCTCGATATTTTAAAAATAAAATTACATTTTATGTTAATCAATACGCTTTTATGGTGTAATTTTCCTTCAAAAATTGTTCATTTTATATTGTTTTTCTTCATGCTACTTAGATAAGCGAAGAGATAGTTGATAATTTTTTAATACGTATAATAAAATTAGTTATTAAATATTACTGGACGCAATTTCATAACTACTAAGTAGAAGAAATAATATATAATCTTAATTTTTACCTACTGTTCTTATTTTTAAAATTTTTCTTCTCGATTTCGTTTTTATTTTTAAAAAAAATTGAATACGAAAATGACTGAATGTATTTTTGTATACAGTTACCTATACATTTTTATTTTTAATTTCAGATCACGAAGATCGTCGGGTGCAGCAACAGCTGTTACTCCACAACCAAAGAATTTCAATCCTGGAGGTATGTTTTACATTTATCTTCTACCTAATTTTCTTCACTAAAAATTATTTAATAAACATCTGTGTAAATAAGATATCCGTACTGTTCGATTTTCTGTAGCTGCGAAACTGATGGAAATAATTTTGATGAAATTTGATATCTACATCGTGAATCCTAACAAACGATTATTCAAAAATGCTTATAATATTCTTAAAAGTATACTTGAATAAAATTATTCTTATTCTCTGCGTCATAGGTATCTACTTTTAATAAATCTTACTTGGATTTCAGTACTAAAACAAAATCAATACCACAAACAAAACTAAGTATTTCTATAGGTTAAGGTAAATACATCCTATGTACCTAACCTATATAAATAAAACCTCAATGCATTTATAAAACTAAAAGTTATGAATTGATGATAAGTATTAATATAACATATAAATACCTAGTATCAATTATGAGTAAACTACCTTTAAAAAAAAAATACGTTGAAAGCGATCTACCTGTCCCTTTGGGAGTTAAAATCCGGTGACAATGAAATATTTCAATCTCGTAATAGTCCTTTGTTTTGCAACATAAAAATCCCAGAATAGTCACAGATCATTAATTATGTCTTTGATATATTTTTTTAATATTCTTGATAGTGTTAGAACATAATTATTACGATTATATGTATTATCAACATCATCACTTCAGTCACGAACACAGCATAAGCAACGATTTTGAACTATCCTCATTTGTCTCCATGCAACACATTAAATTTTGGGGTCGTCACACCATCTATTCCTACACTACATTCCAGTATTTATTAGACTAAAAATAATAGAACCAGGTCTGTAAATATCGATTAGATTGCTATTATTAATACCTATGTTAATGGAAAATGTAATATGTAATTCTTAAGGAACTTTAATTATTTTTTTATCATTTAAATTAATAAATATGATTGAATACAAATCAACTATAGGTGCACTTTGTTTAATAGTTTATAGGTAAATACCTATATAATTTGTATATTAATAATAATGTAATAGGTATTAGTGTGTTTATAAATACGCATTATTTACTACTTTATCAGATTTTAATTGATTATAAAATGGCGCTTCGATGAAACCAGTGTTTATATAGGTGACTGACAAATGTAATCCGTATGTATTTTAGTATTATATCTACCAGGAAAAGATATTTACAGACTTATCAGATGAACAGTAAACAATAAACATATCAATCTGATATCAATTTAGTAAATATACAATAAGTACTCGTACCTATATAAATTATAAATTGAATAAGTACCTAAACGATACTATATTTTAGTATCGTATATGTTTACCAATGATATTGTAATAAAACAAAAAAGATATAAGACAACATAAATATTTTAGGTTAATTGTACGTCCTACAGTTTCCAATTGGTAGAAAAATTTTATCAATACTTTATCAAAACCAAAAAGTTCTAATTTCTATAATTTAAAACTAATTTTTTTTTCTATAACCACGAACCACTAAGTATCTCAAAATTATTACGAATGTATATATTTTGTATTGATATTGTCAATCCTATCAATACACTATTAAAAATATTGCATAATAATAGTACTATACTTAGTGAAATGTATTCTTAGTCTGTTATGTTACGGTAGTCAAGAGCTCAATTCCCGCAGTAATGAACGTGAATACAACTGAGCCTACCGTTGCCTGGCGGATTAATTAGCTTTGTTAATTGTGTTTTATAACCGTCCAAGTGTTAGTCGGATATTTATATTGGCATACTGTTGTCTTTTGTAACAGTCTTCGTTAAGATATTATTAATACTTACAATATATTGGTCGAATTATGGCGTTTTTCATAATATTGTCGAAGTAGACTGCACCACTTTTGATTGTAAATGCAATAAGTATATTCTCTATATTCAAATCCGATATATTCCTACCGACGCTCCTTTTTAAATATACTTCAAGTTTTTAGTACCTTCTATTCTGTTAATAGAACAGAACTAAATCGTAAAGCTATACAGACACAGTTATGTTTTCAACTGCAAAAGCTAAAAAATTAAAAGATCAGTTTTTAAATTTATATATTATTTTTACAAATAAATAAATACAAATACCAGTATATCGTAGTTTAATCTGATGTTTTATTTTTTTTTAAACTGTAATGCTATTAACAATAAAATAATAATATAAAAGGATTTTGATCCTTAATTTCATCTACCACTCTTCCTAGACCTGCTCAAAGCTTTATCCCTCAGATCTTACTGCAAGCCCTCTTATGGACCTTGTGATGGTCCCCCCCTTTTGCACCCCTTATAATAACTACCCTCTGAACTAAGCTACACATGGAAAACCTACAAAGCCTAAGAAAAGCCTACGAAGGCTTTACCTAATGAAATCTATGAAAATATAATGAAAATCTACCCTAAAGAAAGGCCTAACACCCTCAATATAGCCCATACCTATATTACCTTATACACCCTAAACATCTTATGAATCTTAAAAAACCTTACAATAAACACATAATATTGAACAGATCTTTAGTTGAACACTTGATCATCTGGCCAGATAAATAAATGTGTGATCGTCTAGTAATGTAGGACCCGTTGTGTGTGTAATAACCAAAAGGTTCTTTAATTGGTATATGATAGGAGTTAAATAATGAAGATGATTGATAAATATTTAAGGATTAACAATAATTAATGAATAATACTCATAATTCATGTAACTAGGAAGTTATGTTAATTATTAGTAAATTACAGAACAACTGTAATAATAAAAAATGGGGGAGCGGTCGGGCCCCTCACACGCCCGGACCAGTGGAAGACTTTCCAACTATCTATAACTCTTCCTCCTAAAAGGTAGGGAAGGGTATTACTATTTATTAATGCACTCTGATGGTAATAAGGGAATGAGTATTCTCAGTTCCAAACCAAACATAAGTACATTTACTTCAACATTACAGTGGCTCCACCAGCCCCACGATGCTTCCAGTATAAATTAGTGTTTGCCAGAGGCAAACGAATCGGAACTGAAATCCCAGGATCACTCCGACACGAGAGCTTACTCATGGGCGATGACCCTTTCAGTCCTATATGGCGACATAAAGATCACCCACTAACAGTACGAAACTGTTTCCCAGCGTCACCCTGTTACGAGCTTACTCAATGGGGGTTTCCCTTCGGCTCCACAAGAGATCAGACCAAGAAGCGAGATCACCCAGACACCAGAACCTACTTTGATGGGACATAACCCTTCGGCCCTATAATGTGACATTAGAGATCACCTGTGAAGACAGTCCGATAGAGATGAAGATTTGTGTGATAGGGGATACCTTCCACACCCTGGAATTGGCCAAGCCATATAATGTTGATAATTGCTATATCATAACATAGCATTGTCAAATTAATATTATTTACTTAATACCAAGAATACTCAAGGTTCAAGTTAAATCTGTTGATTAGGCCGGAGCCTAAGAACGAGTAGTCCCACCCATAGGTCGAGAGCTACTAAAAGTAATGAGTGCTATTGAATGAACTATAAGTCCAGTCAATTATATATAATATTATTGTTGATTAACCACATTGTGAATTAACCAATTATTTATTCAGAGAGATATATCTAAAGGAACTATAAGTCCTTTAAAAGACACTGATTAATCACAAGTTAACAACGTCTCGTGAAATAACCAGTTGGGTTTTCTATAAGTTTGAGGACACTAAGTCCAACAAGCTATTATTGTGTTGAGAGTAATAGAGATCTTTTGTAATATTTGTAGAGGTTTGATTAATCACATTGTGAAATAATCAGATTAAATAATTATGTAACTTTATAGAGAGGACTATAAGTCCTAATTGGTTGTTGTTATAAGTACTGATAAATTACACATTAAAGTGCCAGGTCAATTATTATATATAGGTATATAGGAAGGACAATAAGTCCTATTTGTGTATGTTGTAGTAGTAGAGGCAATATATTGCATAATTATAATGTGAAAGATATAGATTAAATATATATTTGTATACAAAGGACAGTAAGTCTTATACAATTATTGTAGCTGTACTATAGTTATACTATATCTACTTCCTTTTAGTGTCTTAGTAAACCTATTTACTAAGAGGATTTCTCAAATAAACAAGTGTTTTAGTGTTTAAATCATCATGATTAAATCCCTAAGAAATTAGGTCTTTAAATAATTATCATATCATTTAAGTGAAATTTCTCATATAAATAATTCCAATATTTCCCCTACAGTTATTATAAAATAACAGAAAATTATATAAATTTTCTATAGACTTAGATATAGAATCATAACGTGTATAATCTCCTTTTGTTTGACATCTGTCACATTAATGACGTATTGAATGACGTATTGATGTATTGAATTGAATTTTGATTATCTATCACAACTGTCAACGTAACAAATACTAGCAAGTTTGTTTATTTGTATTTGTTTAATATAATTAAATATAAAATCATCATATATCAACCGTAATATACAACTAAATTATCAGTGACATAAATAATCATAGTTTACACCAGAAATAATTAATAGTATCCAGTAATGCTGCAGTTTTATATTCATATCAGTAGCCAAGCTTACTTTCAAATTCAAGAATGAACAGAAGATAAGAAGCTTAACATTCTTATTGCAATTGTACTTGCAATAATATATACGTACAGTACTAATTATCAAGAACATTCCTCAAATACATGTGTGGTGAAGATTTTCCCAATATGCTATCTATTTGATTCCTAACCTCTAATGTAAATTTATTAAAGAAGTAAATAATCAGTGTTAGTGTTTGCTTTATTAATATTTAAAGTAATTGTCCTAACTTGATATTAATAGGTTCATATCTCCTTGGATACAGCCCAACATATACAACTAACTCGATAATGAAATTTATAAAATACTAATATTATATTTTACTACTTGTATATCTCCATTCTATTCCCTTAAATATTCAAAATATGTATATTAAATATAAATCCAATAAAGATTCACTAATTTTAACCCTGTCT